TTTTTTCAAGTTATAAACAACATACGCGACTTGTAATTGTTTCATGGAAAGCCTAAATAATTATTAAAAAATAATGTACAAAATACGTTAAAAGCATGTACGTTTCTTTGAATAAAAAGGAAAGATGAAGATTAATAACACTGAAGTGAGAGACAGGTGTTAACAGGTTTGAAGAATTAACTCGAAAATAAAATATTTACGGAAGTCTCGTTAGCAGGAAAAATTAATTTCAAACAATTTATTTTGTATCGAAGAGTCAGTTTCATCAACTACCGTTTCTTCCTCCCAACATTGGTAACCAAAAGGAGGGGGTGGTGGTTTAGAGAATTATCAATTGGTGAGCAGGATGAAGGTACAGATGGGGGTGAAATACGATGAACGATTTATATAAAATACGTTTCTCACAAGCTCTACCCTGTGTGCCACTCCCAGTAATACTATAGATTTCAAAAGGTAAATTCAATGCTTCCGTCCAGCTTCCATAAAAATGTTACATTTACGTCAATTATAAAACTACTAAATTGCCCCCCCCCCCCACGACACAATCATATCTACTAATATTTAAATCTTATTGTACTGTAACCAGTCATAAACTGAGAGCAAAGTACTTGGAACATAAAATTAGCAATAGTAACAGCTGAAAAGGTAGACTGGATTCAGACTAAGCAAAGAAAAACTACCACTGGCAACAAACAATATAACATTGTTCGAAACGTGTTAATTAATCAAAAGACAAATATTATGGCAGCATTATTATTGATGAAATTTTAGGAATGACCCAAACTATGATGATATTCTGGGCTAAACAATCATTTTAGCAAACGTTCTACAGTTAATTTTAACCGCAAGTTTAACCAAAGGCACAATTTCCCGATTTTCATTCAATACTTACGTACACGCAAGCACAAAATAAAAAGTCCCATGACAGATTTACGAATCCCCATTTACTGAGAGAGAGCAACAACTCTTTAAATATAAATTGAAATTAAAGCAAACAAACAGTAACGAACCTAACTGGTTTGGGATTGACATAGTAATTACCTCATCGTAATTGTTAATACACGTACGACTGGGTGACTAAATGACCGAGAAGAACCGCCACTTGTACAAAATTTATTGTTCCACAGTTGTCCAATAAATAAAACAGTACCTTAGATATTCAGAGTAAACCATTCCCCCCTGATAACGATGTAGATGAGTCCCTAATAGATTATTCATATACCCCTACAGCACACTGAAAAGCAGTGTTTAAAATAAATTGATTTATAGGAGTCAGCCTTTTTTTTTTTTTGCCAATATGGAAACATTCCTTGAACCTAGAATAACAAGAATTTGGTGATCCTGCATGAGCATCACCACGAACATAGTATTACAAGAAAAAACCTACAAAGCTATATTACACATCCATATTGGATATACAGGAATAACATCAACTCAAATATTTATAAGAACATGAAAATCCGCTTCTCCAAGGCTCTCATCGGGATTATTTTTTTTTTTGCTGTTGCTAGTCGTACAATATCCCTGCGTGATATAGAAACTGACCAAAAAATCATGTACCTCA